CCATTTAACTTCCCTTTTTTATTTCATGAATTAAGTTTGTTTAGCTTCTTTCACAGTTGGAGAAGACATACTGAAACTGCATGATTTTTCATGGGAATATTAAAGGAACTCTAGAAAGACTTCCGAAGTGGATCACCCAGTAACGCCCAGAAAAGAGATTTTTCCACATTTCTGAGAGCTAAGATAATATCTTAGATGAGAATACCCAATAAAAACATACATTTTGGTCATTGAATAACTTTCAGTTGACCATGAAAAGGCAAGAATTCTCACATGATGGCCGCACCTCTTATCGCTTTTACAAGAAAACATTCCCAATATTTTTGCAAGACTATGGAATAGGAATGACTTTTGAAGATGAGATTGATGTATATAACATATTTTGCAGCATAACATGGTTTCATATGACACACTATGGAGAATACGGGAGATAAGGGCAGCCATGTTAAATGGAGGGCAAGAAAGTCTTTAGTGGATTTTCACTAACCTCAGAGAAAAAGTGATAAAATTGGGCTTCATGGACACTGTCTGCATTTAGAAGAAACAAGACACAACCACTCCTTGGAATTTCATTGATCACAAGATGACACTTCCTAATCATACTTGTGTAAAAAAGTTCATGAAATGCAAACACATCTCAAATTATCCACAAATCCACAACGCACAATATACAAGGAGCACTTGTTCCTGAACTGATTCTAAAGGAAATGCCTGTTAGAGGCAACCACCCACAAAGGAATCATCAGACAACAACTGATGCCATTCAAGGACAAGTGCAGTGAGATTCTTCACACTGATATGCCTCCTATTTGGAGGTAAAAATTGGTAGCGAGGCCAGAGGCCAGATGGAGACGTCTCAAAAAGGGAGTGAAAAGACCTTGACCAGGATTATAAACCATACTTCCTCCACTTCCCAGCCCGTTATGTTTCTTCGCTTATGCAGATGGCACCCTTAAAAAGCTCCTTTGAAAACACAGTGAATTTTTCCCAAGAAATTGGACTACTCCCAAAAAACAAATTGTGCATAAAGTGCGAAGGTCCCTCAACCTGGTGAAAGATAAGAGAGGACACTAATAGTTTTCCTATTGCTTTTCAATGTGGAAACAAGAAGTGCTCCAAAGAAGGAACATACATTCCCTTCTATAAAGATTCATTTGTTGAGGGAGCACACATCTCCATCCAAAAGATCATCACCCTGACATACTTCTTCATCCCTAAGAAATTACTCGTTCCTTTAAAGAGAGTGCAGTTTATGAGACCACCAACTCCTCAGCAATGAGACCATCAGTGACTGGCTCACATACTGCCAAGAAGTCTGCTTAGAGACGATTTGTGAATCACTTACTGAGCAAATCGGGGGGCTACGTTTAACTGTGAGTGTAAATCCCAAATTATTCCATAACATATTACAATTGCTTTCAAATATATTAAAGATAAGAAAAGGAAATGTTCAAGAACAGCAAGAAAGGATAACAAGTAAAGAGAAAAAATAAATTAGCACAAGCTAACTCGTGCAATACCATATAAAAAACGGTAAAATTATCATTATTCCTCGCTGTACAGGTTGAGGTTGATGAGTCTAAATTTGGCCGCAGAAAGTATCAAAGAGGCAGATATGTAGATGAACAGTGGGTCATGGGTGAGTACAACATATCGAGTGAGTAAATGATAGGAAAATTTGAAAAATTTGTTCATGGCGTTCATGTCTTTCCAAAATAAAGGAGGAATATGCAGAGAAACTGGAGACATTTTCTTGTCTGCCTGTCCCAAAAACAAGAGGAATGTGGAAGACCTTGAAAATAGTGGAAGATCCCATCCACCCACGGTAAGCAGTCATGACTGGCTGCTGGCGTGGATACATGAACTTAGATGAAAGAGGCTGGGAACACCTCACAGTCAATCACTCCCACAATGTCATTGGTAAAGTGCAATATCATGACACACTATCAGGAATGAAGGCAATACCATTCCTAATTATGTACTTTTTCTACAGATCCCAAAACGCATCGGGTGTGGGTTTTATAACTTTTATGAACCACCGTCGACTTCGCAAGTAACGGTTCGTGCGTGTGGTCGGTGCTACCTTCGAACGAGGAAGTTAAACCGAGTATAGATACCTTCTCCTTTAAACGAAAAGACGCCCTGGATCCCTTCTTCCTGTTCCTGCAACATGCAGGAAAGTTGTACAAATTGAAGCTGCCCATTATTCTATAATAAATAGAATGCAACTGAGAAACATTGCCAGCCAACTTTCGAATGCTAAATGCACAAACCAATTGTGATTACTTTTATGTATAATAAACATCATCCCACCCTAGGCCAACCTGGCCTAACCTAACTTAAGGAGCAACACAAAACCTTATGGAAATGCACTTGATTGTGACCCACCCACCACTCCCACGCACTGCCTACGTCTGTGCTCTGCTGACTCCATGAGCTAGGAATGCTCTCGCACAAACCTTCCTCTTACAACACATACAACGCAGACAACTCATGTGTGCCTAGCCTATAAACATCAAATATTAACGTCAATATAACATCTACGTTTCTCACCTTTCTCACCTAAAATCTACACCAATGCAATCTAGTCATTGAGGGCTAGCAAATATATCAAGTCATTTTGTGGGTGGTCCACTTCGGAAGTCATTCCAGAATGGAAATATATTTTGTAGTTTTTTGCAATTGTGTGTCTTCATTTTGGTTTCCACAAATGGAATGCTAAATGACTGTTGGCCTGCCAATTCACTAACTTTGTTGAGCCAATGGAGTGCTGAATTTTGTTAATTTTGGTCTTCATGTAGTCTATCCCTCGCCTAAATGGAAAAAAAGGAGTGGAGTCTTGGAGTCTTGAGCAAACTTGACTCAAATCTGAAAATCACCTTTAGGTTGGACAATATGACCGAGAAGCCAGTGATCGGCCCCACTCTTCCCCCGGGCTTGAAGAAGGATGACCTTGTAAGTCTTGCCATGCCCTCTGTGGAAGACAGCTATGGCCCTCCTCTGCCCCCCTCCATGCTCTCGAGTCAGGCAGATTCACACGATAAGGGGATCAGTGTTGCTGAAAATAGGATGAGCGAAGACAGCAGTCCAGATTCAGGATCTGATGATGAGGTGATAGGTCCATTGCCTTCTGATGCATCCAAAAGTGGCCTGGACCAAGCTCGTGAGGGAGTGGAGAGGAGAGCTTTCCACATGCACCAAAAATTGACTTGTGAAGTATGTCTCAATCTGAATTTTGCTTGAATTAGTGCTTGCTTTGCTCTATCTTTTTAAAAGCAACAGAGTGGACTTCTTGAAATGGTGGAATAATATAAAATAAATAGTATTCTGCAGGTCTCCCATATTGGCCTTGACTGGATGCTTCAATTAATTTGTTGAATCAAATCAGATTATCCCCAGAGTTCTTTAAACACCTTAATGCATTTCACATATTCTGCATAATATTACTATTTAAAACATTGATATCCATTATATTCAAAAGCATTACATATACATAAGAACCGCATTGGATTGAATGCCAGCTTTTGTTCTGCATCAATACAAAGTGATTCGAAAGTACCTTTACAACTTCTGTGGCCTTTTAACTCCATGTCCCTTCATCACAGCGCAATGAATGTGGTGTTAAAGCAAAGGTATAAGCTACAAGTTTTATTACCTACAATTACCACAGCTCAATGTTACTACTGGAATAGACATGGCAGATATCCTGGCTATATTCATTCTCATTCCATACCAATTACAGTGTGTCTGGTGTAACTCAGTCAGTCAGTCGGTGGCAGTCACCTCAGTGATCCTTTCCTTTAATTCTAGCCTGTTTAATGGCAGTGGTGGCTGGCAGACTTTGTCTCTGCCAGCCTGCAAAATCCTGCAAAAGTCTAGCATCGTGATATCTGCAGACTTTCTTTTAAAGATTTTTTCACTGGACTTCTTTTGTGGGGTCAAGTCAAGGATGAGGCCTGCCAGCCACCACTGGCATCAAGCATGCTAGAACTGAAGGAAAGGAAAAGGAAATCCATGCAGCCTCGACCAGTGTTACACTGGACATACTGCAATCTGTATGAGATGAGATTGGGTATCACCAGGATATCTGCCATGTTGATGCTGGTAGTCTCATTGAGTCATGGTAATTGCAGGTATTAATCTCGAAGTTCATACCTTTGTTTCAATGCCACTTTTGTTGCACTATGATGAAGGCACATGAAGTTATAAGCCACAGAAGTTGTAAATCTACTTTTGAATCATGCTGTATCTTGTTGTCCATCAGTTGATTAGTATGTTGTGGGTTTGACCACCAGCTACTTGATTGAGTGACAGATTGCAGTTAATATTGGTTATATTTATGATTCAGGCATTGACTGTAAGATTTTCTGATGGCAATTGTTTTAATTCAGTTGCTATGGTTTTGGAGCTGTTAAAAATCAGCTCACTTGACCTCGAAAAATTCCTTATGTTGTTTTATTCCCTCAGAAAGAAGAAAAACGTCTCTCTCTTCGGACCTACAACCTCGACGGTCTCCTCTTCCGTTTTCGTAAACCAAACCCAGGATCTCACAAGAGTTCCTTTTGACTACAAGTCCAGAGATTCCTAGCTAGACGGACCTGTCTGTGACCCTCAGATCGAGCCCGAAAGTCATTGGTGCGTTGGAGGTCTTGACATGGTTTTTTATTTTTTATTTTTTATAGGTTTGTTTAGTGCAGTGAAGTTCATTGTATATCTCGAAGTCACTGGTATTTAAAAAAGATACAGTGAAGATGGACTTTGTGAATCATGGTGCTGTCAATATGATGGTACGAGAATCCAAAATGGAATAATAATGTGAGGCACAGTAGAAAGATGATATGCTCAGCAGAATCAGAAATAAAAGTTTGCCTTTATTGGGATTCAATTAATCAGTTGCTGAATTGAATCAGCTTACCTATGCATTGATGCTTAATAGTAATTTTTAGATGATACGACATATGATGGGTTTGAAGTTCCATATTTCTTATATAAATATTTTTGGAGAATCAGATGTCCTTGAAAAATTAAAAAAAATTAGGCTTTATATTCCCTATTTCCTCATGTAAAGACCTGCCTGTAAACATGGTCATTGTCAACCTGAACCTGCCAAAATGATGCTCAATTACTCTTAGCCAAGATAACAGTCTGGCAAGGTCATCTGTGTGCTTCAGATATTTCCTTCATGCTATGGCATTGTGCATCACATTTCCAGGGCAGGTTCAGAAGCATTGTTTGTGGTAGGTATGACTTTCCTTGCAAGTGATACCATATTATGCCCTGTCAGAGCACACCATGTTTCCATTGAGCTGCCATCATGCTGTCAATTGATGTTGTAGATCTTTGTCAGACCTTTTATACCTGCTAGTATGGTACTTTAATGACATCACAGGTGGTCAAAATATATTTTGCATGAGTGTGCCTTGACCTTTGGCAATAGAGTTTGTCAAAGTGAAAATCAGCAGTAAATCATTTCACTGGTGGCTAGATATCATCCCATGCAGGGCCCAAGAATTCTGGTTTCAGCACTTATAAGGCTGTATGCAAGAGCACCATTCTTTTCAGGCAAACATGTGAAAACATTAAGGCCCAAATGCACAAACCTCATTTAGGGGAGGTAAAGGAGCATTTAAGCTAAAGAGCTCTTTTCCTCCTATGGGAGTCCATCTATTCTTAAAGGACTGCTAACTAAAGAAGGTTTCAGCATTCGGGCCTAAATCTCTCTCTCTCATCTGTGCACGATTCCAAATTTGTTTCTCTTGCAATTTTCTTACTCTGATAACTATTTCCTCAAAAAAATACCTTGTTCCTCACGAATCCTCTTGTAATTACCCTTTTATCACTTTGACTCAACAAATTAACCTACTTTCCCTCACGGTCCCTGGTTCCGTCTTTTCGGGTATTTTAGACCGATCAGGTGAGCTATATGTCTGGGAGATGAAGGGGCAGGTTTTTTTTTCTCTACATGCACATTGTATGCATACACATTGTCTACTATGCCCCAGTACTCACCCAAACAATGATTAATGAAGGTGGCAAGTAAGGAGCTATGTGATGGAAAAATGCAAAATTTACCGAGAAGTTGGAATTTTTAAATTATTATCATGGATTTCCATGCCCTCTTTGATGAAAAATACATCAAGTTGTGAGCTTCATTTGATGAAGAGCAGTGGTAAATTGCATGTAATTGTTTTTGTTTGTGTGAGCAGGAAGGTGGAAAGAAGAAGACAAAGCATGACAAGAAATACTTTGAAGAGAAAAGGGCTGCAATTCGAGATGCCAAGCTGGAGGAACTGATTGAGAAGCATGGTAAGAAGAAGAAAAAGAAGAAGTCTCTTATGGAAATGCATGAAGAGAGCCTGAAGAAGAAGAAGAAAAAGGATAAAGTGAGTGTCCTTCACTCTCTTTCAGATGATAAAATTAAGAAGGGCTAAGTAAGTGCGACAATATTTATGCAAGTTCAATGAAAAAGGCAGCTATCACGAATGCCCTTTATTTTCAAAGTGAGCTAGATGGAAGCATGTCACTAGTGTGAGTACATGAATGAATGAAAATTAAAAGTTCCTGATGAAAGAAATGTTTGGTGGACTTGAAGCAATAAATTAAAAGATGCTTCTAATTTAGGATGACTTTCTTTTGAGTGAAGAAGTGAAGTCTTCTGCCCAATTAAATGTTCAGGCTGCAGGAGTGCCACGTGCTGATCCTGATGGTAATCGAGACTATTAAACTCCATGAAAAATTATTGTCTCTTGAATTTTAATATTCAATGGAAAGTGAAATATGTAGGGCTGTCCTTAAAGAATTTGAAGTTTAATTACACTTTCCAATTTTTTTAAAACATTTTTTTAGTTTGCTGAAAACTACAGGTGATGCTAATGCCCAGTTTCATTGGTGTTATGCTCATGAATGGATTTGGCCTTTTCACTTATTGTGCTCAAGGCTTTCTCAAGTATTTATGGTGGTGTGAGCATTGCATATTTTCATATTCATGGATTATTGTAAAGTTATTAGTTTATTGATAAGTTTCCCTTCCCCTTCAGAATGGGAAAGAGAAGAAACCAGAGCGGAGAGAGTTCGACCGTGATGTTGACCTGAAGATCTCAAAGATGGATGAAGCCGCCCGCCGCTCCTTCGTCAAAAAATCTCAAGAACTCAACTCCCGTTTTGGTGGTGGAAGCCAAAAGTACTTGTAAAATTAAGGATTTGCAGTCTTTCCTCCCTTTTTGTCGTGCAGATGGCCCAGTTTCCTACAGACATATATGACTATGTCAAAAATATTCTGAGCTCATGCACAATTGTGATTGGGTGACCTCTCAGTTGTGATTCTGACTCCCCCCCACGCCCCAATTTCTCCATAACAAGTGTATTATGGCTCATAAGGTGATAGCTTCATTTTCAGCTGACAATACATAGCCCATGATGCACAAAGTTGGCATAGGCAGACACAGTGAGTCTGCTGTGGATGACAGTCCACACATTATATGCTCTATTGTGGAAATCAATGAGTTGCTTCCAGATCTTTTGTGTCCAAAGAACATTCCACTTAATTTGATATCTGGGGATTTCAATTTAATATAGTGGATGCTAAGAGACAATAATGAGAACTTGAGAAGTCCTAGATTTGTCCCATAAATTTTTTTGTTGCAAGGCCTATCTGCATATGCAGGGTGTCCTAAAAGTTGCTTTACTGAGATTATACTCACATTCCAGGGAAAAGCTACTTTATTTACAACCAACCACCTGTAGAAAGTGACAATGAGGAGCAACAGAAATTGTTCAAATTGTTGTCCATCATGTTCAATGCACATTTCACATCTGCAAATAAAAATCTGAATGCAAGTGAAAATAATCCCACTCAAACACTTCGCCGTCTTGGTAAAACAACTTTTAGGACACCCTGTATATAAGCTTTGTTGAAGAGCAGTCTGTGTATCTCTAACTAGAGAGAAATAGGTTTTCGCTGATACGTCAATTCACAATGAAAAAAGTGCATGTTAATTTTCTGTAACTATAGACCTACTCTGACAGTTTAACCTTCCTTTTTAGGCATTTTACATCCTTACAATCATCTCTTGAACACCCATACAAGCCAATCCTGTGTTGTTGATCCTATCCTTATCCAAAAGGGATTCCCAGAAAGTGAGATTCAAGTCTGACTTTACCAGATCCTTTTAAAATATTGAGGTTGAAGCAAGTGGCAATTATGTCTGCATCCTGGAGATATTTGATCATTCTGAGCAGATTTCAAATAGGTTAATCACAAATATTACCATCAATGTTCTCCTGTCTTTCCACATCCCCATTCAAAATTTTTTTTTGCATCCATGCTCACTAATTCTGATGTCATTTTCTCCCATGCATTCTCTTGGATGCTTCCAAAGAGCATTTGAAGCGTTTAGGTTATGGAAGTTTTACTTTCTGATGAAGTCCTTTGACATCAATTAATGAAAGGCAAATTGTGTTATAGTGATGCTTTCATGACAGCTATGTGACTGGCTTTGGTGGGAGAATCTTAATTTTTTTTGGTGGCAATTAGGTTGAATTATTTGAGGACCCTTCACCATAGGAGCAGTTTGGCACATGAATAATAATCCATCTTGGGAGTGATCCATTTCCTAACAGGCAAAAATCCTAATTTTCTTTGCTAGCATTGAGGCTCATCGATACATCAAACTCATTTTTTTAAAAATAAAATTACTTTTTACATTGTGCCTATCCCTTATAATATTCTAGAACTGGAACTTAGCATAATATGGTGTTTTGTGCACTCCAAGGCTCTTAATTGGGTGGCTTACATGCTGAAATCAGCACAATCATAAAGGAGGGACTGTATCACTTATATTCAACACTTTTAGAAGGTCTTATACCTACACGAATCAGGAAGAGAAGAGAGTCTATAATACACCTTTATAACAACTTTTTATTTCAAAGTTCGTTAAACCAAAGATGTTGCGCCGTGGAGGGAAGCGGATCCGCATGGACGACCCCCCGCCGGAGTTTGACCCTGGCCCCATGACCCCTATGACACCCATGGACGCTGGAGATGTGGAGCAACCGTACACCCCCTACACTCCATATCAGGCTCAGACGCCCTTGCATGCCGGGTGAGTCCCATTTGCATGCTCCATTTGTACCAAAACTCAGGATGAGTCTCATTTGTTACTGCCAGAAATCATTAAGAAGCTTTGATTAGCTGAAGATGCTGGCAGTGAACTTGACCTTTCATTGCTCTACAGGTTATCCAGGGCATCTGTAAAACTAGAGAAGTCATCATAATGAAAGTAGAGTGAATTTTTCCACCCAAATTGTTTGCATAGGTCAGTTATTTTTGAGCTATGAATTATATACACATGATTCTTTGGTATTCAATGATTTCCTGAAAGGGTAAGGGACTTCTTTGTGCTTATGTATTGTATTCATTCTGGTTTCAATAGATACTTTTGTCTGCTTGGCTCATTAAAGTGACAACATATAATAATAATGTCCTGCAAGCATTACCTTGAAATGCTCTTTTGTGGTGAAGCACATTGCACATTTTGAAAATTTTTGCTTGAAATAATCTTGTTCCTCTCTGCCTTATTCTATTCCAATAGTTCCCTTTTGCTGACCACATGGGACATTTAACCAAATCCCATCTAAGTCTTCCATGCATTCAGTGAAGTATCCATTCGTTCTATTCAGCACATTATTTTGTAGAATAATATTTGCACTGGGGTGTTGAGCTGCATTTCACTAATTTAGGTTTCTATGTTTGGCATTTACAAAGAAGAACCATAGATTTGGAAGCAGAGACTGATGGGTTACCATGCCCTTCTCAATATCAGTTATGCTGCCACAACCTATAGAAAAAGAAGACCCATGAATTTGAGCCAAAAAATGATACTCAAAGACATTTCTTCAGCATATTGAACTGATTAAATAGGCTTAGCTATCAGGCCCATAGTGTTGCTCAACTCATCCCTAAGTATGGAAACTGCCTTTTCAGCACCTTCCTGCCCTCCACATGCCAGCCCATAGAGAATCCATCTGCCTATAAACATCTGAGGGGGTGGGATTAAACAAGGAAAACATGGTTATGCATGACTGTATGTGTACTTTTTCATCATTTCATGACCAGCATATGCATATCTCCTGTATTCCTGGAATTGTTTTATGCTGTTTCTAGTGGCAGTGCACAGGCAAACTTCCCCTTCTGTCATATGGTATGTGGTATGGACTACTTCATCCCACTCTAAGGTTTATTGTAGCTTGTATTTTTGTGATTTAATTTTTGCTGCAAGGGCTCATAGTTGGGGAGAGGTACTGACCCAGCTTGTTATGGTTTTGCTGAGAAAACCTTTTTGATATAGAATTAGTTAAAAGACATCATAACTTAAAGGAACTCATGCAGTGCGACTCAGGTCTGAACTAGTTTACTATTCATGGGAAAAGTGAATTTAATGAACAAAAACTTTAATCAATATAACCCTATGAGTGCCATAAGCTTTTGATGGAGTCATTGTTAGTTTTAAATTGTATTAGAATGTCAGAATCTATATTGATAATTGCATGAAATATCAGAGCAGGACATACCATGCGAGCACCCAGTGCCAGAGCCTTAAAGATGTCTGATCCGTGAGTAATTCCACCATCAAGGTATACTTCACAGTGTCCATCTACTGCATGGATGATCTCAGGCAGCACATCGATCTTAAGAAAAGTGGAGCTTATTTCTTTTTCTTAATTATATTTTACACTTTTTAACTCACAGTTGCAGGCAGTCCATCCAATGTTCTTGCTCCATGGTTGGACACTTTGATTCCAGCAGCACCTCTCTGAACTGCCAGTTGAACATCTTCTGCTGTTACAATGCCTTTCAAAATCAACAGCAGTTGGGTGATCCTACAAATGAAAACTCTGTTATCAAAGGCTGTTTGACATTTTAAGTTTAGGAGAATTTGATATTGGGCTCAAAAAAGTTTTCCATTCTCTAGAGAGTCAAAATATCAAATGGAACTTTTTGAGATTGTGCTGGCAAGAAGTGTCTCAGTGAATAAATATTGAAAAGTGATTCCCTTAATGACTGCATTGGTCATCTGATATGCTATCCAAATTGCCCATGTGTGGGTGACATGAAAAATGCAGTTCACAATTGGAAACTCTTTTGGATATCTTTAATATAGTTCAGGATATTTCCAGTGCAACTTGTTGCTCCTGTGGAATACAGTATGCCATTGACATAGCTTTTTATCCATTGGAGATCTCACCACGAGAGGCCTGCATCTACCGAGCCCGCATTGGTGCTCAGACTCCTTGTTCCTGTAGCAGCTGGCTTCTCTTGATAATGGGCCAGCCTATAGGACAATGCTTAATGTACTAATATAAAGTTATGATGGAATTTAAAAAGCGAGCTTGAAATCATGTGAACAGCTCTAAGCGGCTATTATTGGCAGTGCTGTGAAACAGGACTGATGGGATCATATTAAGTTAAAATTTATTTCCTTCTGGTTCTATGTTGCAAGTTCATTTTTACTTAATCTGACTTACCCAATTTTAGAATATTAGAATTCAGATTGTTTCCCTTCGGCCATTCTGCTGTTAGTGCACCATTCTGAAAGTGAATTCAGCTTTTCCTTCCACCGCATCGACTGTCTGGCTTAGTGACTGATATTCTTTATTTTTGCTGACTTTGCCAAAGAGCTGGAGAATTCAAATACTTTGCCCTTCTTTGTCTTCTAGCTATCTCTTCTTGTAGCGGAAGGCATGGTTCGTTTTTCTTGGTCGGCCTTGTACATACTCTTGAGTTAGACGAGACTCTTCACTAGACAAACCTTTCTTGTTGTAATGCTTTTTGAAATGTCCCAAAGGCCCTAGCAAAATCTGTTTCCCTCATTACTTGACTTGTTTGAGTCGATTTAAGCCTTTTACTTTTGAATACAATTTATTTGCACTCTAACGAATGACTTAGTTGCTCTCTCCATTAAGTTCTGTATAATTTGGAGTTAAATATCGAGATGATATCGTATCGTTATACCTTTACCTGATCAAACTGACCTGATGTTATCGGGAATTAAAAAGTGCCCTCTGAGTTCAATCTCACGCCTGCCCTAGATCGGCGCATCCACCGTGATGACCAGGGCTTTGTACCCGGCGTTCTCGGCCCTGCGGATCAAGGATTCGGTCCAGTCCCGATCTGCCATGACGAAGAGCTGGAACCATTTCAGTCCGTTTGGGGAACTGGCTGTTACGTCTTCCATGGGAGCGCTGGCCACTGTGCTCAGTATGAAAAGGGCTCCCATTGACTCCGCAGCTACCACAGTAGAAGGAACAGATGCTGAAGGCTTGCATACCGCGCAAGGAAAAAAAAACTTTTTTCTAAACTGCAGCCTCGCTCTCTAAACGTGTTCACATACTGATGGCATATAGGTTTTCCTCATGCACAATCATTTCCTCCTAAGATGGTGTGAGATATCCCTCAAATTGAAAGGCTCTTGTCCTGTTATGTTATGCATTTTACCTAGGTTGAACGTAAAGGAGGTGGCAGTAATGGCTGAGGCAAGCATAACAATCGTGCAGAAATTCACTTCACGAAATATTTTGAAGCAAAATTTTCAATATAGATTCACCAATGCATTTATGAACCGAGACAAGAATAGAGCGGACAAAATTGTATGTGACGTAAAATACGGCTACGAGTACTAGTTGAACTAATTAAGTATCATAATTTCATAAATACTCAGAATTTTGCATGACCATCTGGGCATGTCGAAAGTGAGTGCAAGGTGGGTGCCGAAAATGGTCTCCTGGTCAGCCTCACACATTCTCAAAAAATCGCGGCAACAGTTCACTCGAGCTCTTTTTTGAATTGCGGAAAGGTTTCGAGGCACCCACCTTGCACTCACTTTCGACATGCCCAGATGGTCATGCAAAATTCTAAAACCCCAACAATTCCCCAGTGTGATAGTGTATCAAATGCTGAGTGAACCCCGCGATATAAATCGGCCGATTTTCGCTCGAATGAATCGCAGTATGCTGGTGGCTACGATCCCGAAGTCTCCGAAGGAAAAATCGACTGAGTGAATGTGAAACTTAGCTGTGTAATGGTGTTACTTGGTGCGAATTTGGGAGGATTTATGGGGGGGGGGGGAGCATATTTGCACAAGTGATGTGCACGTTTCCCTATGTTATAATAATTTGCGAAATCCATCGTTGCATACTCGCGTGGGTGTTTGGGAAGACGAAATGTGGTTGCATAAGCATCACATTGTAAGTTCTATGGCTTCAGGATTCTGCTTGTAAATAATCTCGATAAGGACACTGAAATGTGTCCTTATCGAGGGTTCCAGGCACAGGTTCCTGCTCATTTCCTATTTTTCCTATATATGCTTTTTTTTAAATCGCGTAATATTCTTATAACTAGTGATGTCGTTTGACTTCGTCGCCTGCGAGGGGATCTAATGACACATTGCATAAAACAAGCATGAAGCTTCTGGGTCTTGAGATCTCCATTCCGGCCGAATTCCCCAGCGCAGATGAACGAGACGAAATGGATGTCGGAGATGAGACACACCAGGACTCACCTGCGAGTAGGGTCAGATGGGAAGCGGAGAGTCGGGGAACTCCGCCCTTCATCTCCGACATGGGCTCGGGCGGTCGTGAATCGGTTAGCGCGGTTATGATGTGGTCGTCTGAAACGGTTTAAGTTTTTGAGCCTGGAGCCGCCATAACTGTGGTATCGTCGAAGAACGATTCTCACTGTGGATTCGCGAAAATACCTGTGGGTCTCGAGGTTCACCTTGGGAACAGGTTTCTTATTCATATGCGGATATACCCTTTCAAGTGCGGATCGTTATCATAACTGTCGATCACTCTCCTTAAGAGGAGATGGGGATTAGAGCGGCTTATTCTGTTGAGAATGAGGGTACAGGTATTTTCCTGCATTCAAAGTCGGTGAATGAGTCATCGCCATTTTCCTAAATGCTGAGGGCTCTATTGATTCCCCGCCTTTTTTTTTAAGGAGTCCAGGCTCTGAATATCCCATCATGTCTGTGGAGGGGATGCGAGGCAGGGCCACATTTAAAGCCTGGAATGCAACGTGTTTTTCGGAGGGAGACGCAGATCTGGTGGAATCTCAATGGGTGGGGTGAGGGGCTATAAACTGTATAAACCCTAGGATTTGGTTGAAAATGGGAAAGGAGACGCGGGCTCTTGGCTCATGTGGAAAGCGCATGGTAGTCATGACCTGTGACGTCGTACTGGAGCAGGGATGCTGGATTGTTTTTTTTTTATGATTTGGTAACCTGCTATTAGTTACGCATGCATACTTGTTGATTTATAGAAAGATCTGCCAGTGTGTTTTACTTATTGATGCCTGCATTAATTGAGAATTCATTTTTTGTTTTCTATTTGAGCGTTCGCCCTGATAAGCCTAATTAATGGGAAATGGAGCCATAAGACGACTGCATGAACCTATGAATCCACCTCAAATTCCATTGCGATTTGTATTTTTCCCAGCTTTGTAAATTTTATGACCCTAGAACTAGTATTCCCTGTGGACTGCTCAATCATTAGGCTGTTTCACATCGATTTCGCATTTCATGGTAGTCATATTCGCCAAAGCATGCTTGCAAGTGGTATCAACACATTCTGCTGTTACATGTGATCCTGTTAAGAAATAGCTGTCTGTTCTCGTCTCCTCATCTAAATTGCAGGCAATACATTATGGTTGCCTACTTTGTTCAGCGCTTCCAAAGCAGAAGTGCATTAGTTCAGTTGGCAGAAACCTGTATCAGATGCATTGAAGTCGATGGCATTTCTTGAGAAACGAGCATGATAAATTCAGAGGAATGCATTGACACATATTGACACCCCAGTTGACTTGATTAGTGTTGGATCCCAGATCAGATATTGTCAGGAAGAATTTGAGTCCAGGAATTTAATTTTTAAATGGTATTAATATTTTAAAATTGTATTAATTAATTTATTTCTCGTCATTGCAGTGGGGATCAGTACATGGACCCGGGGATGGGGCTGATGGACGACGGGAGCAACCTCTCGCGGCCCTCGAGGGTGTACCCCGACTACCTGGTCGGCGGCGGCGGCGGCGGCATGCTCGGCCAACGGTGGTCCAGGGCCCCAGCACCGGCCCCAGCCCCACTCAGCACGGCCCAGAATAGCCCCGACACGCGATTTGGGGGTGTTGCCTCTCGATGTTTCTCGGCGTTTTCAATTGGGGAAGGGAAGTTTCATCGGCTGATGAAACCGTCGATGCCTCCAACTATCGATATTGACAGCGATGCATTGTGACGGCCCTACTTGTTGTGAAGCTCTCTCCCTCGATCATGCAATTACTTGTAAAGGTGTAGTCCTACATTTATGCTTCGTTTGATTATGGTACTTCAGTTATGGAGACATCTGGGCCACTCCACCACGCACTATAGTGTTGTGGGTTTGTGTCGACCTGCTTAAGGAATGAGGTCGATCGATGTGCGTGGATTCTATTTGCGACGAGAAAACGTTTAACTTTGAGCTTTGTGACGAGCAGGTCGGCCGAGGCTGTCGGACTCGCCGTCGCACGCCGACGAGCCCCCGAAGAAGCGGGGGAGGGGACGGGGACGCGCGGCCGGGGGGGAGCAGGACGACGAGACGAGCCTCTTCGCCATCGTCAAGGCCGGCCGGGCCGCTCTGCAGGTGAGCCGTGGAGCGCTCGGGTTCGAGGAAGTGGATGGAGGGGAATTGTTTTGATGGTGCTTTGTTGCTTGGGGGGGTAGCAAGTGGTGGACGATTGGATCGACTCGTACAAGCTGAATCGGGATGCGGCGCTGCTGCAGATCATGAACTTCTTCATCCATGCGTCCGGGTGCAAAGGGCGCATCACGTCGGACATGCAGTCGTCCATGGAGCATGCTGCCATCATCCGCAGGATGACCGAGGAATTCGATGAGGTATGGGTTTCAGTGACGAAGATAAAACGAGTCTTGCAGGTTTTAAGTCTTGAACTACTCAATATGTTTCACACTGTACGATAATCTGAGGTACTGATTTAAGTATGGTGTCAACAATACTAACCATATTATATGACTGGTATATGCAGTGATATTTTTTGTCATTTGAGCCTGAATTGCCTGTTATTTTCATATAGGAGTCTAATGTAACATCGGCATGAGAGTACCATAATGCTGATGTGAGTTTTTTTTTTTGCATCGGCAGGAGAGCGGGGAGTACCCATTGATCATGACCGGGCAGATGTGGAAGAAGTTCCGCAGCAACTTCTGCGAGTTCGTGAGCCTGCTGGTGAAGCAGTGCCAGTATTCCATCATCTACGACCAGTACCTGATGGACAACATCATCGCCCTCCTCACCGGGCTCTCGGACTCCCAGGTCCGCGCCTTTCGCCACACGGCCACCCTCGCCGGTCCGTCCTCTCGTCCTCGTCTGTGATGTATTGGAATTGGGCCACACATTCGAAAATTTAATTTAACTGTTGGTTGTATCACAGGTTGTGCAAGAGTTTTTTTTATGATGAAGTTCTATGGGCATACCTATTATAACTACTAGTGGGTTTTTTCAATTTGATATATTTATGGAATTACATTAATATTATTGGCAGTATATAACAGATGATTACAAAAATCCATGTCAGTAAGTGCATTGCTGTAGGACAATTGAAATCCTGGAAGTTAAAATACTTATACATGTCAGGTGACAGCAAATGATGTCATTTGTGGAATTGAGATAGGGACAGAGCCACATTTCAATGCATTTTAGGCACCTTCCACTAATGTGTTATCTTTTCAAAGATGTTGTACTTGCAAGTAAATTTGGAATGGGCTAGTTGAAGGGAAAGAATACCCCTAACAAACGTGGATGCTCTGTTTGAAGAATGTGTGGCTTGATTAATAGAATGGAGTCTTTTAAGAGAGAAAGTGAGAGTTGGAAAAATAATATGGGAAATTGAACAAAACGGTAGCCATGAAGCTGATGACGGCACTCGTGGGGGTGGCGCTGACCGTGTCGGTGAACATGGACAACACGCAGCGGCAGTACGAGGCGGAGAGGGGAAAGTCGAGGGACAAGCGAGCCAGCGACCGTCTCGAGGGCCTCCTCGTTAAGCGCACGGAGCTCGAGGAGAACATAGAGGAGATCAAAAACATGCTCACCTACATGTTTAAGTCTGTCTTTGTCCATCGCTACAGGTCAGCTCAGCTTCAATGTTTGCTCTCCTCCTTTATAAATAAAATTTTACAAATTTTAATGTAGCTTATTGAGACCTATGGTCTTAAATTATACCAATACTTATTTGTGGAGCCATATATGCATCCCATCAACATGCTTTTGAAAGAGCATCAATCCTTGGTACCTATTGAGTGTAGGAGGACCTTAACTTTTGCTCTAGTAACTGTTATTGTGCTTAACTTAAAACCAGGAAGGTTAGTTTAGTAAGAAAGGGAGTGACTCAGCTTAAGCCAGATATAGATCCAGAATGAGTGTAGACATGCAAAGGAGAACTAGCTCAGCCCAAAAAAAGCTACCAAACTTTTCCAGTAGATTATGACCATATATCTGGTTCACAGGACCTGGAAACATCTTGCTGGATTTCTAAGACATTGGTGACAAATAAGGATTTCTCTCAGTGTAGTCTAAAAATATTTCCTATGAAAGGGAAAGTGTCAACATCCCTTTGATGCCATCGCAACAGGGACACGCTGCCTGAGATCCGTGCGATCTGCATGTCCGAGATTGGGATCTGGATGAAGAAGTTCCACCAGATCTTCCTTGATGACTCCTATCTCAAGTACATCGGCTGGACACTCCACGACAAAGTCGGTGAAGTGCGACTCAAGTGTCTCCAGGTGCGTCCCTATACTTTCGGGTTGATTCATTGAATGGTTTTGGAATGAATGGAAATTGCTTAAGGAGGAAGTTATATTAGGTCAAGGAGGAATGAGTAGCTTTAAGAAGCAAATGTTGCTGCATGTTGTCATTACTTTCTGAGGGGAGATTTTTTCCAATGGAAGCATGGAGAAAAAGTAATGCAATTAAATTTGTAGCAAAAATAGGCCCAGAGCTCCATGAAAAAAGAAATTTATTTCAGATCAATGAAAAGAAATGATTCATGATGTCTGAAATTATATATTAATAAGTCATAAATTCCTGTAGAAATGATTTCACTTGTGATGTTTGGCAAGAAGTACTTTGGTTGTGTATACAGGCTCTACAACCACTGTATTCATCAGAGGAGTTAAAATCCAAGCTGGAACTGTTCACCAACAAGTTCAAGGACCGCATCGTCGCCATGACCCTGGACAAGGAGTTCGATGTTGCCGTCCAGGCTGTCAAGCTCGTCATCAGCATCCTCAAGTCCGTTCTCTCTTGTCTGCAACTCCTTAAATTTATCACTTAGGCCACCTTTTGACCTTAAATAGGATACACAATTTCCCCAATATGCTGGTGTCTGGGTGCTATAGGTGAGGTTGAACTTACTTGGGATTAGGGAAGCTCCGATATTTTCTCTTCCTTTTTATCTCATGTAGATAAGGAAAGAGAAGGGCTTGTAAGAGTGAGATAATTTTAGACTGCACCAGTAAGGGTCGTTTATGTAGCTCTCTATCCATTTTTTTCTTTCTTTTCCAGAAAAGTTGTTCAAAACAAGGGATTCCTTAGCAAAAATATTATTCTATATTTTCTCCTTCCTGATACTTTTATTTTGCTACTAAATATTGCAGCATTGCTATATTGCAGATGTAGCACTGTCCTGATTTATCTGCTATCACATAGAGCTATTCAGGATTTTCTTTTATAACTTGAATTACTGATGATGTTTGGATGGGACAATATAGGCATCACAGAGACATCCTGACCGATAAGGACTGCGAGCACGTGTACGAGTTGGTGTACTCGTCTCACCGTGCCGTGGCACAGGCGGCGGGCGAATTCCTCAACGAGCGTCTCTTCATCCCTGACGAGGAGGCAGCAGAGAACCTGCGCACCAAGCGGGGCAAGAAGCGCACCCCCAACACCCCACTCGTCCGGGACCTTGTCCAGTTCTTCATCGAATCTGAGGTAGGTGAAACCTGGTTTCTTGATTGAAATAGGATCAGAAAAGGGAAAGTAGAATAGAACACAGATTCTCCTCTCAGATCCCTTAATTGGACCGTTCCTGGACCTTGGGACCATCTCCAGGCATTCTCCCCTTCTATTGTCATGTCTCTCATCATTTTGCCTGTACATATCTGATAATCCCTTCAAAGGAGGCTCTTTCAGGACTGGGCATTGTCCAGTTGGTTCTGATTTTGTCACAAAGCCTCATGGGAATGTGACTAATATGAATGCAAATATTTCATTTTGCTACTTTGAGTCTTATAGGCTATGAATGTAAATTAATCTGTAAATGTGATGTGCGAACAAACCCAAGCCAAAGGTAGTGTGCTGTTACAATGTTCTAATTCATAGATTGTCAGGAAAGGGTGTATTTGCCATCTGTAGTAGTACCATGTGTTCTACTTGACCATGCTCTGCCACACGACTGTTCACTCTGCTCCATCATGCCATTCCACCTGCATTTATGCTATTTTAGTGCAATATATGATATTCTAGATATTATTCATGAAGGTAGTTGCCCTCTTTCTGACCTAGATGATGATTTTATCCTTCATCAAAGCTCTGTGAATCCCTATCCCTTCCAATTTCTCTTTCCTCTGCTTTCCTTCTTAACTAAATTACTTCCACATCTGTCAAACTATACTTGTGAGTGGTGTGCAAGTTCTGTTCTTTTCCTGTTGTTATAAGCTCATTACATCAGATCAAGATGGTATCATTCCTATCATTGTTGAACGTAAATATTATTCTATGATTGTGAGCAGTAAATATGTCAAGCTGGTCTTTTCTCCTCTAGGATAGCTGAAGGTATGTGAGGGTTGATTTGGCTAATGATAAGTGGACATTGTCCTTCAACCTCCTGGTATCATGAACCACCAGAGTCACTTTTAACTTTACCAGCACTGGTACATTTTGACAGTTCTTCATTTAAATTGGAGTAGCTTGGTGTAAGTAATTGACAACTTCTGATTGTGGTTGGACAGCTGCATGAGCATGGGGCATACTTGGTGGACTCATTGCTGGAATCAAACCCGATGATGAAGGACTGGGAGACAATGACCGATCTGCTCAGTGAGGAACCTGGCCCCAAGGAGGAACCTCTTGATGACCGACAGGTATCATATCAATTTGTTCCTTTGGTCTTTTGGTCATTTTTTAAAAGCATTTTTCAAACTCACTCAATTGTGGATTGGGTCTTGTCTCTGCCAGGAAACAAGTTTGATCGAGATCATGGTCTGTGCCGTGAAGCAATCTGCGACCGGGGAGCCTCCAGTTGGGCGTGGGCCCAATCGCAAGGTAAGTCTCTGTGGCCTCTGGCATTCATTTCACTGTGAAAGTTTTCACATGTAATCCATCCATTTGAATTTCTGCAATTTGCAGAAATTCAAATGAATTGGTCACATGTCTTGCACAAGATGCTTTCTTTTGCTCTGGGTCATCCTTGTGGGTTTGTTTTTTTTTTTCTCCTCACATGCTGTGATGGTGTCCTTGAGCAAAGAGGATGTTTACCTTTGAAGATGAGGTTGTTAAGTTTTTTTGCAAGGATTTCCATAAGCAGTAGTCATCGGCTTAAAATTTTGGTGTCTCGGATACCGTATACTATTGGTCACCGTATACCGTATACGGTGACCAAATTTCCTGACCTTACTAGCCGCATGAAAAATGTCCATATGGCTTGGAGCCACAAGGCATGCAAGTTTGTATGTGCATTCTCAACCACCAACCCTGCAGTTTTACAAAAAGATTCACATCCTTGAGAGCCACATTTGATCAGCACAGGAGCTGCATGCAGCTCGTCAGCTGCAGTTCAGCCACCCCTGCCGGTAACCTGTAGAGTTAATAGCAATGGGTTTTCAAAGAAGCTGGGAAAGTGTTGTTTCAGTTTGCATCTCAACATGGCTTGTTGAGAGTTATTGTCTTCATGAAAATTCATCATGAATGTAAATGTGACTGGTTGCACAAGTTCTTGGTATTCATATACATGAACCAATTTCTGATGTTTTAAAGGTTGGGGAATAGGGAATTTTTTAACTTGAATAGGACTGGAAATCACAAAATCATGATAGGTGTAGCCCCAAATCATTTCAATAGTGTTTGATGTGGCATCATGACTTCACTGGCAAGTGCTCAAATATGCTCAAATCTGCTGCTGCTGACATGCACTGTTGACATGATGTTGATGCTATGCTGTCATTCCACACATACAGGTGTTGTCTGCACGAGAGGTGAAGCAGGTGCACGATGACAAGCAGCGGCTGACGGAGCATTTCATGACCACCCTCCCACCACTTCTCACCAAGTATGCTGCTGACCCAGAGAAGGTGGCCAACCTTCTCCTCATCCCACAATACTTTGACCTCGAGCTGTACACCACTCGTCGACTGGAGAAGGCCAGTCTCTTTTTGGCTTCATTGGGTGCTTCAGAACGTTAGCCAGTAGCTTGTCTCTTGAGTGAACTGAGTATTTGGAAACTCAGACTCTTTCTCCTAGGGGATGAAGAGTTTACAATTAATGGAAGTACTCCTGAAGTATTTCTTGCTTCAATTTCAATATGCCCCAAAGTGGCTATAATCTTTTTGAGAACTTCTGCAACTCTTTGATTTGTTCTTTTTAAACATTGCCTGTCTTTGGATTATTTGAGGATACAATTTCTCATGACTACTTCATGATTCTGTTTTACCTTAGAACTTGGACCAACTGCTGACTCTGATGCGAACGATCGTGGAGAAGCACACCGACACAGACGTCTTGGAGACGTGTGCCAAGACCCTGGAGACGCTCTGCTCTGAGGACCATGCGATCTACTCGCGCTGTGACGTTGCACGCGCCAACCTTCTTGACAACATTGTCTCCAAGTACCGTGAGGCCATGGATGAGTATGCCAATCTAATCGCTGGGGTGAGGCCTTTTGTACTTTGCAGAAGATTTTAACAAAAAAGAGGTTGCAACTTAGGGGAAAAGAATTGTTTTAGTGAGTGAAGTGCTGACATGGTGGGCAGAAGATTGTAATACACAAGGACTAGAAGTTATTGCTTGTTACCTGACCAGAAATACACAGCTAAATTAAATTAAGCTGTTGCACTTTTCCCCTCTGAACTGGATTGTAGGTGAAGTTCTCTGTTACTCCCATAGTTCATAGATTATGGTGACTATTTAACAAGACTGATTTAGATTATTTAACAAGACTATCCCATACTGCCAGAGCCACTGTGTTGAAGAGCAGTCAAATGTGCTCTTAGGCCATTCTTCTGAGGAACTCTTGAATATTCTTGTTGAATGTTCTTGTCCTGCATGCATGTGAGAGCAGGAAGATTAGTTATAGTAACTTAGTTTTATGTCTGGATGGATGACTGCATGTTACCAAAAATCTCAAAGCCATGAGGAGTTGAAAGACTAATGTCAGCATTGTGATATGCCTGTGTAAACAGGCAAATGAGACTTTTGTTTTAAGGTGTTCATCAGTTAAACCAAAATCTTGGTTAAAATTGGTATTTTGGTTAAAGCTTGCTCTTCTATTAATTCCTGGAAGCAATGATTGGGTGATGAAATTTAACTTGGACAAAGTGTGATGCAAATATAAAGGACAGAGTTTTATTTTAAAGTCAATCTCTCTTCAATGACAGAAAATGTTAATATGAGGATGCAGTAGAGGCAGCAGCACAAGAAGGGGCTGGTTGGATGCTCTCTTACTCTGCAAGCATCTCCCTGCCTTTTCTTTTTCAAGATGGAACACATTCCCCTCATAGTCCAGAGACTAAATGCAGGTAGATGTTGTCTCGCTTAGGTGAATTTTTTTATTTTTCCAGGGAGAGGATCCAGATGAGGATGAGATCTTTGCCTTGGTCTCCAGCCTGAAGAAGGTGAGCTGTTTTTATGCCTGTCACAACCTCAGTTCTTGGGGGATCTGGGCCTCGCTCTTTGAGGTCGTACGGGAGGCGGTGACGGACCAGCGCACCCTCCCCGACGAGGCCATCAAGCACTGCATCGCCTGCTGCTACTGTGGCCTCCTCTGGGACCAGAAGGCCCTCCAGGACAAGATCAGCCAGGGTGCACCATACCAGGAGGACCTGGACACGCTTCGTGACCGCCTTCACATGTTTATTGATCTCTGCAAGGAGGTTGTCATTGCATCCAAGGAGCAGATATTCAAGGAAGAGGTGGGAAAGTGAATGCATTTCCTGAAATGCTGATGCTTTTTTTTTTTAAAGTATCCTTGTTTCATTCTTGTTTTCTTTTCTGATGGAGAATTTCTATTCATGCCCAATTCATTGAATTTTTTATGTAAGGAAATAGGAGTCCTTTGACCTGTAATTCCTGCATATGGTATTAAGTTAACTGCTTCAGGAAGAGTTAGATTTTTTCTTCCAGGATTTCATTAAATAACAGTAATTCTCTTATTCTATCTTCTTATAGGCTGCACATAATCCTTAAAATTACATGTACTAAATCATTCTATGCACTTTTTTCTAAAATGGCTGTGTTACACTTATCTCCTTAACAGCATCAACCACATATGGGCATCATCTGAGTCCCTCTTACAACACTGTAGAGATCTAATAAACCAATACCGAGAGGAAGAGGTTATGATGTTGAAGAATTGAAAATCCATTTTGTCTCATCTGCATTGACATTTATCACTTCACTCACCTGTACAACATTGTGAAAGTATAAGTTATATTTTTTCTTCTAAAAAAGCCTGAAAGAGTGGAAAATTAATCCATTTTTAAGGGGTTAATGAGTATTATTCTGCATTCAACAATAGAAATCAACCTTGAGAAATACTCCATATTCTTAGAGCTGTAATCAGAACCTTGATTATGATTTCATTTTAGGTTCATTACTGGTGTTTTTACTGTAGGAAAGCCTGCTTTTGTGCATTTTGCTGCTATAGTTTCTTGTGAGCCAGGGTGAAGAGCTACAGTTATGGAGACTTCAACAGGTCTCTCATGTTTTGCATTTAAGATTGAAAGATCCATGGCTTGTTTGATGTAAACAACCTAATTTGTGTGGAATAGAAACGTTTAGGAAAAGATTTGCTCCTTTCAAAATTGTTTTTTTTTATTGAATATTAAAAAATATATAAATCTTTTCAAATAAAGTAAGTTGCTTTGAAGTCTATTTTCTACATTAGGCTTTTTAAAAGTTGAAGGGTGGAAGAAAATGGGAAAAGTAGAAATATATTATGGCATTGGATACAAATTCAAAATAACAATGGAAATTAATTTTTAGTACTGATGACTGTGCTCATAATACAGTTCGTTTCTTTGACCTTCCTGTATCACATCAGCTTGAATGCACATTAATGTTGGATGAATTTAAATTAATTAAAACAATCACATATGTTAATGGGTTATGGAGGAAGCCTACAAGTTAAAAAGAGTTCTCATCTTCATTCACTTTTACATGCTTGCCTGAGACTCAACATCATAGTGTGTCCACTCTCATATGTCTTTGGGAGCAGTTGGCAGAGCTGGTGGGGATTGCCTATTTTTTTTTTGCTTTTTTCTTATTTTTCATGGTCTCACAAAATCTTTTGCACAAAATGTGAAGGCATGCTTGAGAGTAGCTCTGTTTCTAGTAGGTGAGTACAAAATCGATAATTGCTGCAAAACATGTGTGAAAGAGAATCAGAACCTTCAACTTGTGTTATGATTCATCTATCAGTCATGTAGGGAAAATTAGGAATGCTTCTCCCAACACATGCTGGTGTTGTCAAGCACTTTGACATTGCGGGTTGTACTGGATTTGGCACAGGATTAGCTTTTTAAGTTCTCAAGGCTTGGATCTACTCTGTTTTGACATGGAAATGTTGCTTCCTCTTTCTCTAGGCATATGTGACAATCTGCGACCTGCTGATTGTGTTCTGTGACCAACTGGGGTCAAACCACGTGCTCCAGCCGCTGGTCTACACACCGGACCGTCTCCTCATCCAACTCCTCAACAACTTCATTCAGACATATGTATTCATTGAGGAGGAAGATGGTGAGCCTTTTCATTTGTATTTTACCTCATGTGCCCCATTTAAATTTAGTTTTTTTTCTAGGGGCTCTGAATTTTATATAAAAACTAGAATTTTTAAAATTTATACTCATATGAAATGAAAACAGTAATAGGATAACATTTTGATGAGATCTATTGGAACATTTTTTGGATTAGTAAGAGCTTCCAATGAAATATTGTGAATTGGGTTTGGTCACGGGAAATTTTTGCAGATGGGCAAGATGAGCACACAAAGATCCTCCTCGACGTGTTCGCAGCGTTAAAGGAACGTAGAAAGACGTTCGATCACCAGATGTTACAAGATAGGTGGTTACAACGACGGCTGTAGAAGTTTGTGATGCACTTCCACTTAAAAGTCTAAAATAGATTGATCTTGCTATTTTTGAGCTGTTTATGAATTTTTTTTTTCACCTAAAATTGGATGTGTCTTGTGTTGCCTGCAATACTATTTGATACTATTTTCAAACTGCTGTGTACGTGCAGCCTTCAGTTCTCACTGGTTGGATGATCTGGGCTGCTTCTAATCGCTGATTTCTTCAATGGCCTTTGAAGGCTTCTTATTTTCCAGCATGAAAGTTTAAAGTTTAAGCGTTTTCCTCTTCTTTAGTACTACAATGATTATGGAGACATCATCAAGGCAACTATTGGGAAGGCAAGGGAGATCAACAAGGTGAATTGTGCACGAACGATGGCATCGAGCCTAATCATGATCTACCAGGAGATCCACCAGAACGGCCATAAAGTCTCCAGACAGTCGGAGGAATTCATCAGCCTTAAGGTGAGATCTCATGCCATCAATTCATCCAGTTGTTAAGTGACAACTTTAATTTGTTTTCTCCAAAATTTGTAACCGATTGATTTATTTCCTGATCAATGTTTCATATCTGGATACTATGGGGTCTTTTCCAAAAAATACATCAGTCATATATTCCAACAGAAAGATACAAATGTGGTTCACATGTTGTCTTGTCTTCCTTCACTGCTGGTCCGTACTTGCCACTTCCCTCAAGTTGTGAGACAGAAATATACTAAAGATGCTTTCAGTTATCTTTGTTAGACTTCTTAGTTGTGATTTTCTAATCTTAATGGATGTATATCTATGCCAAGTCAACTTGAAGAGATATCATACATATATTTGCCAATAATTTGTCTTTTTATTTGAAAGCCAATGATAATTTTAATCTTAAAAAAATGATATTCTGTGTCTATAGAAGAAAAAAGAAAAAGAAAAACTACCTCATCTAGAAAAAGGAACCAAATGGTGCCTTCCACAGGAGGGCTTAAGATATTATATTGAGCATTTTTATATTTTCCAATATTGGGAAAAATTATAACCTGTCATCTTTGCCAATAATGCATCCATTGAGCACTTGGAACTCATGTGGTTTAATTGTTACAGTTATCAGATATTAAATGACTTTGCCTGGTTATCCTTTCAGAATTCTTTAAACTTTTAAAAGTGCCATAGCTCTGAAGAGATTCAAGACTTCTAAAAGGTGTTGATTGTATTTCACTAATTGGAATTAATGGAATATATTTATAAATATATTTGATTTTGAAAATTGCCAAATTTTGCACTTTTTCCCACATAGTCACATATGCAGTGCAGATGTATATCTTAGTAATTCATGAAAATTCATGAAAATTTCCAGCTTCATATGGGATGGGGAGGATCCAATTCTCAAGGAAACTTTGTAATGAAATCTCAAGGAAATGTTTCATGTGTGATCAAGAACCTAAAATGGATTTCCATTTTTCTTTGGTTACATGAATATATTAATGGACATTGGACATGTGATGTTTTCGTGCCTATAGGAACTGGCCAAGCGATTTGCACTGAGCTTTGGCCTGGATGCGGTGAAAAACCGAGAAGCGATAACGGCTATGCATCGTGAGGGAATCCTGTTTGCCGTGAGCAGCGGCGACGAGAACCCGGCAATGCCAGCCGACCCATCATCGCCCCCTAACAACATCTCCTTCCTCGAGATCCTAACTGAATTTACCAACAAACTCCTGAAGCAGGACAAGCGTGTTGTGTGAGTCTTCTTTTGGCAGTTTTTTCTTCTTTTTTTTTGGTCAGTGCTTACTCATTAGCTTTCTTTCCATCAGTCCTGGTTCAGCTGTGGTCTTGCCAGAAGATCTTGGAGAAGTTAAGGCTTTTTCTGCCTGTTTTTAGATGCACAGCTATGATGGGAACTACAGCACAGCATATTTCTTGCTGAAGAAAAAGCATTAATTGAAAATCAAAATGTTGAGTAGAATCCTGTCTGGCCTCAGTCTGGAGAAGCACTTTGCACAATTAGAAGCCATATTCAGCATGTAAAACTCCTACCATAAGCAGGCACTTTGCTTCTGTATGGGTGATACTGGACAATTTTGCATGCAGATTTCAGAAGCAGGCTTCAATGGAAATTCCATCTGTTTCAGACATGGTAACTTTGGGACTTGGAGGGAAATTTTTTTAAGCAGGTGGAAGAGGGCTATCATGATTCATTGTCATCTTCATTTTGCATGATAAGAAGGAAAAATTACAGCCAATTGAATATTGTAAATGAAAGTCATGATCCATGTTAATCTGAGTTTGGTTTGTGGAATTTACAGTCTTCTGTACCTGGACAAGCGCATCACAGTGCCTGTGCCATCTAGTCGGGGCGAGGACTGGCAGGCGCTGGTGACGTATCGCAACAGCCTGATGCAGGGGGAGACTGATGCCCCTGCTGTGACCCATCGCAAGGCCTACACCCGACGCAAGAGAGGCCAGCGTGAAGGTATGGTTCTCTCTGCAAGGGGGATCTGACTCGAGAACCTCAGTCGCTTACATTGAAGATTCACTTAATTCTTCAAAATATTTAAAACAATTTGGAATTGGCTTATGTAACTTCTTCAATGTGTTAGGAAGATCTTGTGAAAAATATCAAATGGTGTTGTAAATGTAATGTTATCAGTTGGATGTGGCAAGTGTGCTATCTTTGTTGTTAGTATATGCTCTTTAAGAATAGTTTGAATTCATGCATCTTTTATATTTATATATATATATATATTTCAAAATTTCCAGAAGAAGAAATTGAGGATGAGGAAGGATCAGAGCTGGACTTCCATCAGTGAGTCTGTTTTCCCCCTCTCGTCATGCTGGCGTGCACTCGAGGCTTTGCACTGGAGGTTCCACTTGCAACCATGTTGTTGTTTTCTGTGCTGGTTTTTTTTTTATCGTTTCCTTGTGCGACGCAGGTACCTCAAGGTTTTAACGTACCTCCCTAACACGTACGAACGGACACAAAAAATAAAAGTAAGGTACAGGGTACAAACATCAGGGTAACACGACGAACGGAGACTACATAACCCCACTCAAAGTCACTTCTGCCACATGGATGTCTCCTTGCTTGTTTGCTTCAATAGTTGAATTGATACCTGTTGCAAATTCAAGATCTGCGTGTTCAGTAGTGCATTTTGATCCCAGTTTGCAGTATCATGCTTGTAAATACCTAGGATAATTCAAAACCACATCAACACGAAATCGATGACCGTACAAGGTCGTGTCAACTTACGTAGTAAAAATTTACAACGGAAATGTCCAAAACACTTTCTACATTAAACTCGTCTTGGGTGAACATTTATAAGATGTTCTTGTACTTGTATTTTTTCTTTACCACCTGAGCACCAATTGACTTTTTTGTTTTGTTTTCAGTACTGGTCCATGAAGTCACATTCCATAGTGTCTGTCTGTACGAGGCATTTTGATTTTGCAATATCTTCTCATTAATTTGGAAATATTTTTCTCTCATTTTTTTATAAATATTTAAGGAATGCGTTGAAATGAAGTTCTGCTTGACGTCATGTGGGTAATAGAGTGCCTCCGATGCATTGTGATTATTGAAAAACATGGTCTGCCCTATGCTCATGTGGGGTGATTTGGTGCATTGCAGAGATGTGCCAACGCCCACCCCTCGATTTAAGCGGGGCCGTGACTTTGCGTCCCCGTCTCACTCCGCCTTCCCGGCTGCACCGACAGACCTGAGTGTCCACCACGAAGCGAAGCGTCCTCGCCGTTCTGGTGTCTACGGTGGTAACTATTTTGAGTCTGAATTTGATGTGGAATAAATGTTCCAGGAGCCCTCAAGACAATGTTGAGAAGAACATTTGAGTGATTTTTGGCTCCTATTAATTCTGTGCACTCTTTAAAATGTGACAATTTTTCTAGCTACATTTTCTTTGTATTCTCATGATCAGATTTGATTAGGACATTCTGAAAATCAATTGGAATTCTCATTGTCAATTTGAGTAGAGTTCCCCTTGAGAACCTGAATTGTGAGGTGAGTCCTGGATACCAAGAGAATCCAGGCAACACAATCTTTTCCTAACTCATCCAGTTGAAGGAATTCAAAATATTTCTGAAAACATACTATATTATAAACTTTTCATCAGTTGTCTGGCAATCAACATTATATTT